AAGACGTTTGAGAAGACCCTGGAATAAATCTTTAGTTTGACACAGAATTGTAACCTAATTACTACGTAATCTATTAACACACAAACCATTAAGCTACTGCTCTAAATATACTTGTGTATACATTTGCAACAGTACGCCTGTCTAAGAATTATAAAAGGCGGGCCACTATTGATAATTTCGTGCCAAACACCACGAGTAAATATTCGCGACTTTTCTTTGGACTGATCTATTAAATAGGTGTGATAGCTTCAATGAAATTAAATAAATAAAACGTTCTTATCGCCTTTATTTTATTTCGACGTTAAGAAGGTATATTTAACACATTGTACACATTACATATCGTATCTAGCCCAGTTAAACTAAAGCAGTGAAACGGAAATTAAGTTTTAGGATTGACACATAATTACAACGTACTACTACGTGAAAGTCCAAGTAGTTTTCTACATTTCATGTATCCTTATGCAAGAATGGTTTAATCAAACGCTCAGCTGCCTCCATAAACCCCTACTCGCGAAATGGCGGAGTTGACAGAGGCAGACGCCATCTTGGACCCGCTTCAGATTTTCAAATATTAATATCTAGAGTTCAGATTAACCAATATTCAGACAACTTATATAGTAAGTATCAATAGAAGGGTCTCTATTAATATTCCAAAAATAAATAAAAAAATAATGAAAAACAAAAAAGTTAGAAAATACGATTTTTTCAATTCGCTTCTCCTAACAACGGGAAGTACTGACGACGAACGAAAAGTCGCGTCCTGGATGGTAAAAATCATGATCTATAATCCCTGAAAGTTTCATGTTGATATCTTTTACCATTTTTGAGTTTAATCGTGGACAAAATGTCATTTTAATTTCAGAAAATTGTCCATAACTTGGCACCGGAAGTGATTTTCCAAATTTTCTCTCGGATATAATAAATTCATTTAACAACACATCTGTCCTGAAAATTTCATGTAATTTCATCCAGTAGTCTTTGAGAAATCGCGTGCACAAAATTAGAAAGTCAAAAAAATAAGAATAATAATAAGAAACAATAGAATCACTATAAGGTCTTCCGTGAAGACGGAAGACCTTAACAAATCTTTAAAAATCTTCTTCTCAAGAACCACTGGGACAGGAAAGCTGAAATTTATGTGGAAGCATCTTTGGGTAGTGTAGATTCTAAAGTTTTAAAATAAAAAAGGGAAGGGGGTTGTTGGGCATGATAGGTATAGCAAGAGGGGGAATCTGGTAAAGATCTGCATCACCCAAGTTACTCAGGTGAGCGATGTGGCCCATGGGCCTCTTGTTTTTAAGTAGGAACATCTGGGTATTTTTCCAAGATTCCTTGAGCAAGAAGAATGCTATAGGAAAATCAAAACAATTTGTAGATTTAGAATTCTTTTCAAACTCTTGGTCTATTTTCAACAGACTTGGAAGTTTTGGACTCCAGACCATTCAGGAAACCAACCGCCTGCCGTCTACGGAGAGCATCCTACCAGCATCCCTCCCAGACACTCCGCGTGTAGAGCCAGATGTTCCTTCTGATCCTTTTGCTCCTGCTAATGGACCATTCTCTGGTAAAAAAAAGTCTTGACCCCATACCAAGGTCATTTTGGACAAGGTCACAGGATACAAAAGTATTAAATTATGGTTTTTCGTGTAGCTACCACTTTGAAATTTGGAAACTGTTGAAGTTTATAAAACCTCTACTAGAGGCAAAAGTTGCTGCAGCTTAATGTATAATCTGTTAGACATTGGAAGTTGTTAACATTTTTAGCAAGACAGGCAGAGTATGGAAGATGTTTAAAAGAATACCTTGTCTTAAGTTGCCTAACTGAGTGTATAAGTCCCATCAAGACAATTTAAATATCTGGTATATTTGTTTGATATTAAAGGAAATTTCATGAACTACCCAAGTAGCCCTGGCTACGAGGCTCCTCAGACCATGATGCAGAAACTTCAACAGGAGAGGCGTATCCGACTGGCAGAACACAAGCGTAGGATCATGCAAGGTTTGTTATTCTATCTCACTGTATGACTAACTCTGAGATACAATGAATAATGCTAGGTTGCTTACTCTATAAGATTGATACAATAAAGAATTTTGAAGGTCTGTCATTCTGTCTTGTTTGTTTTTGCAATATGGATCAAGAAACTTTTGAGAATGCAGGTTTCTTCAACTCTCAGCTCTGCTTTTTACTTTTGTGCAGGTCTTGGTTCTGTAACATGTTGATTCTCTTTAATTAGGTGAAGAATGGCCTGGTTTTGATGTACCCCCAGTTGGCAGCGAGAGCCTGTGGGATAATGAGTACAACCCCCTTGGTGCAAAATGGTCAGCTGGACTTGATGCCCCCGCAAATCTGCAGGTAAGTAGACAAGTACTCTAAAGGTATCATTTTTAAAAAGATGTAGCTTTTGTTATATCTGGATTTATTTTAGGTTACAAAATGATATGAACTTGATACTTTTGAGTATGTACGAAAAATTGCAGATAAAGAAAATTATCTTAATGTTGAAAAAGGAAAAAAAATTAGAAACATCAGAAAGGAAAGAATGACAATAAAGTTTGTGATAAGTGAAAATACATACATATATGACTTGATTACATTCAGTAATTTTGTTGTTTCAGGACAACCCCAGTCTGTGGAGTACCCTGACTAACAGTGCTAACAGCAGCTGGAACTCTCTGATGAGTTTATCTGGCTGGGGATCCCAACAACCCAGCACCACCAGCACTGAGACACCCACCACCGAATCTGCCACTGTCCCACCTAGGACTCAGCAGGTAGGCAAATAGGGTCTTCAGTGTTTTCCCTAAGAACCGGCTACCGGCCAAATTGACCACTTCAATTGACAAAATTGCCGCTTTGAAATAAAAAATTGTTGTAAGGTCCACAAAGATTTTGTTTATAAACCTCAGCCCCAAGCCTGTTACAACTGATCTCTAACCCTTTACTTTGAAATTAAGGGAAAACACTGGGTCTTATTTCATAGGGGGCACCTGTTCTTGTATGCGAAGTATTTTCCTAGTGAAAAATTCAGCATGGATCTTATACCTGTATATGGCAGGATTTTCAATAATTCTCCATTCCAAATCTGTCCCAACAAAAACTTTGATGCTAAACAACTGCATTTGTTTACTTGACTTGATTACTTTTGAATGTTACAGGATAACCAAGCCTTCAATCCATTCAACACAATGTCAGACATCTGGGGACCCAATGCCACCAGCAACAGTACTGGGTGGAATGTTCCCCGACCTGACAACCAATAAGCTGACTCAACATAGCAACCTTCTCACTTACACACTAAAGGTCTTCTCTTGTATTAACATTTTATTGTGAACAAGGACATGAATCCTTTACATTTTTATGGTATATTGAAAAAAATTGGGCTATTTTGTTAACTTCAGCAAAGAACTGTTTAAGTTATGTTAAGAAAATTAATATATGTATACCTAGATATTTGTAATTTCATTGCAAGTTGATTTCTTAAAATGTAAGTGTTCTAGGTAAACAAATTTGGGAAGGATACTGGATCTTGATATCTTTCATTGGTTTTGTAATCCTGTTTTTTTTTTTTATTATTCTTTTCACTGTAAGTGAAAAAATGAATATATAAGTTTGATATGCATGTATAAATACATGTACAGGTTTCCTTGTTTTAGATATGAAACCCAAATTTGTTAAAATAAATTTGAAAATTTGTACATTTTAATTGGAAAAGGATTTTCAAAGGATTGTTTTTCTTTTGTAGAAATTTTATGCAAATACAATTTTTCTCGTGCTATCCCTTTAAGGCCTTTTTATCCCCCTCCAAGTTTAGTGTTTTAAAAAATTAAATGGTTTGATATTAAAAGTGAGAAGGTTGCTCAGCAGTGGACTCCTGATTCGGATTTATGAAATATGGACCTGATAAATGGATTGTGATTTTTGAATTAACAGATTAACTTCTACCCGATTGTGACTTAATGTGATGCAGTATGGCATCACCGCTCAACGGATATGACTCTAAATACCGGACTTGACTTAAGTTCCCAGAATACACAACTGTGTTTCATGGGTATTATATATTACTGGACTTGACAAATTTTAAACAGGGTATAATCATGTTGATAATGTGGATTTATCCTTGTAGTCTCTGGTGTTATTTTTATATAGCATGTTAAAACGGAGTATTTACAGGATGAATGCCACTGGTCTGCTACTGCTTATAAATATAAGTATTCCAAGTACAAGCTAATTAATAAACTCTATCAGGATGTATAATCAACTGTACATCGCCTGGATGAAAACAGAAAATAGTTGACCCTTAGTTAATTTTATACAGAAAAATAAAAGCTAATTTTAAGTTTTCTCGAGACAGGTTCTCGTATTAAAAAACAACAAAGGGTAATATTTTTAGGTACCAATGTTTTTTTTTCTTTTTTATAAATTGTTGTTTTTGATTGGTAAATTTTTATTATCCTTGTTAACATAGAAAGAAGAGACTTTTTTACGTCAGTTATGTAAGTGTAATTTTTTTTCCACCAAAACCAGTAGATAGAAGGATTTTGTAAGAAAACAAAATCAAGTTGTTTTTAATTCTGAGATTTTACTGCTGTTTTTCTTCCTGTGTCAGTTTTTTATTATTATTAACAAAAAAGAAACTTTCAGTATATAGAGAGTAGTCATCTAATACTGGTATAAGTAATAACTGTTTTTGTACCGAACTCTGAGAGACTGTACAATGTAACACTCCGTCTTTCCTCATGGTATCCTCCGGTGTGAGGTCGCTGTGAGAAGCTCACTTGAGGAATGTGTGTCTGTTAACAATCATAAAAAGTAAAGCAATTTTTAAAAAGCATCAAGTCGCTTGTTGTGTTTTGAATTTATTGCATACAGTTTATCCGTAAAAACAGAAAAAGTAACAGGAAGATGATCATAATTATTTTGGTTATAAAGGAGACCATCAATTATGGTTGCTGCAGGTCTGAAAAATTATGAATGAAGAGGGCTCTTGTTCCATCAATGCAAACAATAGTTCGGGTGCTGAACAATTTCACTTGTATGATTGGAGATATCTAGTGACTGTATAAGAAATGCAACATATAAGTATCTACAGATCTGTAGCTCGCTGGTGTGAAAAAATTGGGTTTGATGAACAGAGAGCTAAAGAGCCACCAATTGAAAACAAAAGTGTATATGTATATATTGTGCACAAAAAAGTATGGTTTCTCAATGCTGCAAAAATTCAGAAAAGGGATACAGAACTTGTTTATGCTTCATTCTTTTTTTGTCTGATAACTACCGGTATATACATCATGAAATATTTTTTTAATTCATAGCATAGTAACACCTAATTCTTTTTAAAAAAAAGAAGACATTTCTCAAGTGTGTTGTCGTAGAAGTCTGCATCAGCATGACTTTATGTATAGGCATATTATGTACCATAGGTACCTAGTTTAAGGATGGTGTATTACCTGGTACTGTTAATCACTTATTATTCATGTATTTAGAAGAATTATTTTATCGCGTAATTAAAACATAATACATAAGATATACTCCGAAAATTTAATTCTCGCGTATAATAGCATTCCTAAAGATTATATAGTGCGATAACCACAATTCGTGAAAATTTTGAAGTGTATCGCTAATCAAGAGTCAACTTCTGACTATCTCGCGAAAAAATAAGGTGTCAACATTAAAAAAATTTAGTGATCTACAGTAAGTTGGGGTTTTTTCTAGGTGTCTGAATACACTGGATGACATAATAAAAAATCCTTAAAATTAGCATGTATTTAGAATGGTATATTATTTTATAAAGTAATATGACAAAACATAATACATAAGATATACCACCCTGAAACCAAGCGCTTTTGGTTTTATTACCTTTAAAATATATATGGTTTTATTATATTGCAGCGTTATTTAGCCTTATCTTTCCGGATAAAAATGTTTCTAGCGGTTCGCTTCTTCATTTAGTGTCAACGTACTATTTCCAGTTTTAATACCTGGAAAACGTGCACTTGACGCACTTGCTATTTCCATAATTTTCTGGCTTTCTATGAAGGGACGTTAAATCATTATTGTCATTTTATATAGAAGCCATGTGTGATCTTATTTTACCACCGTCGCCACAATGGTACTGTAGCAAAATTATCGATTATAACAAAAAAGGCATCCTGATATTCGGAACAAGACACGATATTTTCGTGTTGGATGCCTCCAGTGTTCCTCCGACATACGTAGCGCAGTGCTGCCTTCATAAAGAACGAATATCATCTGTAGCTTTGAATGAGAACAACATTTGTTGCAGTGCCTCTGAAGATGGGAAAGTGAAAGTGTGGAAAATAGACAACCCCAGGGATGCAATAGACGAACATAATATTCATAGTGTTAGTTGTTTTCATACACATGTAAACGAATTATCATTTGAATATGCTTTAAAAAATCAGAATATTCGATTTAATTTTTGAAGTTATAAATCATAGATAGGGATTTATTTGACTCAGTAACTCAATAATCCATAATGAGAGAGCAGTGTTTTACCTTAATTCAAAAGTAAACTTCTCAAAGTCACATTTTTAATGGGTAAGTCAAAAAAAGACAAAGGGTCCTTGATGTTTTACTTCCCATGACTTAAAAATCCCCCCCCCCCCCCCTTGTGTGAAAGGGAAATCTCTCTTGGGGGACCAGGAGAGTGCAACGTATCTCAGCTGAAATTTATCATATTTTTGGAACAATAATGATATCAATTTAATGTACCCGATAATGAAAATCATATAATTATAGAAATAGTCCAAAATTGTTTTATTTTATAGTCAGAATTTAAATGATGAAGACATTGAGGGCTGTCTGACAGTTCCATTTTCATCAAGCATCTGTCAGAGAAAAAATAAAGAAATGACCAGATTACAGACTATAACTTCCATGTTTTCCTTTCGCTGTAAGACATTGGAATGTAAAGAAAATAATCCTGTGACAGACTTGCGAAAGAATTTTTCCTGCTCATATATTCACTAGCTCCAACTGTTGCAACAATTATTCACAACATTTTTTGAGATATTGATACATATAATATGACTTCAGAGTGCCACTGCACACACACACTGACTCTCCAGTGAATACTTCTTCAAATCCAGTGAATATGTAGTGTTATGAACTGCTTGCGTTTGTGTACAATGCATGATTATACAAGGGATATTTATAGACTATATAATAAAAGTTTTTATGAAATCATTCATAATTGAAAAACTTGTAGTACTACATGTATATTAGAATTTAAGATTTGCATTTCAGAGTAAAATTGGCTGTATTTGCTGGTCGTCTGGTAATTCGTCTGTAGTGATCAGTGGAGATGACCGAGGTCAGATTGTGTGTTGGCAGTATGAGGAAAACAGAACAATATGTTACTGTCCAGAAGCTGCAGCCATTGTTTGTCTTGTGTGCTCAAATCTTAATGAAACACAAGTGGCCGTGGGGTGAGTTTTCTAAGTATTCAATTTCAAAATAGTATATTTATCTGAAGTGGTCAAAAATTTAGGCTAATTCTAATAAAAAGATTTGACATGCTCGTATATAAAGTGATATTCAGGTATTTCATGATGAGTTTTATGTTTAAACCATCCAATAAAATACCGTATAGTGTGTTATTTTAGTAGGGGGCTAATTTTGGCTTATTTTGGCATTTTGATGGTAGCCTGCTAAATTTTAATAGCTAAAATAGTTAGTACTCTTCTTAGTGTTCATCTGCAAAGATTTGAATCACTGTGTCTGCTAAAATAAATTACGCCAAAATTATTGGCATACCTTTGAGCAAGCAAAACGCCAAATTTTCCCTCCAAGAAAACCCACTATAGGGTAACGAATAAATAATTGCACTCCTAAGTGGTCACGACTCGCATCGTAAAACATAATTTTTAAGCGTTGAAACATAAAACAGAAAATTTACATTAAATCGATTACATCCTTACAGATATAGGACAGGAGTAGTTTTGATTGTTGACGTGAGGGAATGGAAGGAAGGCCACGTATTACAAAGACTACGAGGTCATGACGACGAGGTGCTGTGTTTAGCTTGGTGTCCAATTCCAGGAGAAAACTTCAAAGCTTACAAAGATTTGGACAATCCAGACGTTCCTCCTCTCAATGGTAATGGAGTTATTTAGAAAAAAAGTCTTTGAATTGATCATTAAAGATTATTTTAAGAGGTCCTATGGTTTGCTTATTAAAAGTTTTCTTAAGGGATTGGGTTGTCAGCCCTGTAACCCATTGAGCAGGCACACAGTTATTGGGAGATCCCAGGTTTGAGACAAGTCTAGGCAACATTTTTCTCTGCTTGTTATAAATAACCAAATCCCAGATGGTTTAGTTGAGTCTCTGTGAGCTTTTCAGGACAGAAAACGTCAAGAAAAAGGGGGGAGGGGTGTAATGGGAATTTGGCCTAGTAGCTAATTGTAGAACACCTGTACTGTAAGCAGAAGTTCCTATGTTAGAAAACCTGTCTGGCTGACATTATTACCTGCCTGTTATAAATGAGGCAGCCTATTTATGTAAATGAATTAAGAGAAAATGTAAGAGTATTTAATTCTACAATAAGATCATTTAATTCTACAATATAATAAAAAGGTATTGAACAGTTAATGTGTAATCAGTGTAACACTTTATCCTCAAACTTGGTCTAAGATGTGTACATTGATATACTTTAGGTGATACCAATAGCAACCCAGATTTTGGAAGCAGTGGTCATCTGTTAGTGTCCAGCAGTAGGGACAGAACGGTCAGGGTGTGGAGCTCGGCCAGAGGACGACAAATCTTGGTTTTCAAGCCCCCAAAGTCTGCTCCAGCAGGCAGGGAAGATAAAGCCAAAATGTGGATGACTCTGTTGTGGAATCCACACAATGCCAATCAGATTTATGCCAGCTCATACGGGTAACTGCAATGGATGTCAGGAGTAGAAACAAACTTCACTCCAGAAGTGTTTTACTTTTCATCATCTAAAGCATTGTATTTGAGTGCATGTAGGCTTAACTTGCATGTATCCAAAGTTTCTAAATCTGAAGAAGACCATTCAGGACATTTTTAGCTAACCTTTAAAATTACCGTCCTAGGGAATTGATAGGTCTTTGAATTGCAGATTTTCTGTAAAAATTCAGGACTTGATCCTTTTTTTTTTCAGTGGTGAGATTTTGAGATGGAGTCTGGAATCCAATAGTTCCCAAAAGCCTGAGTCCCTGAGCTCAGGGAAGGTCCTCTACCACACACGACCAGTGTTCTGTATGTGTACGGGTGGATCTAACAATTCTATGATGTGTACTGTCTCCATGGACAGACAGGTAAAACAGTTAAACACTGAAAGACACTGCGTGGTCATTGACAATAGTTTGTTGTATCTAGTGATTACAGTAAAACACACTTATAGCGAACACGGTTATAATGAACTGATGTTTACAGTGAAGTGATTTTCATTCCATGTGGCTTTAAAATATATTGCATATAATGGATATAATAACAATTTCTGTATATAATAACATCCATGGCATTTTATTATAATTTATAAGCATGTTTTGACAAAGGCAGTTTTTGTTTTCTCAAATCTCAAAGATAATTTCTATTTCTAACACAGATGATATTTTGGGATTTGTCTAAGTCTGTACCACTGTGTGCTCTACCCACACTGGGAGGCTTTGTGTATGTGGCCAAGACTTCCCCTGTAGATCCAGGTAAACATGTAATAAAATAGAAGAGAAAAATACAACAAACAAAATGACTAAATTTACATGATACATTTTTGGATTTCATTATGACCATTAACATGTTTAGTACCACATTCACTGTGTTAATACATTAGCACCCAATTTGTTCATTATGCAACCACATCTTTAAAAATTATGAATTTTTTATAAAAGATTTTTTTTACTTGTGATAACAGGAAGGCTTGCTATTGGTGTTGGTGACAGCATGATAAGACTGTGGAATATGAACAATGTAAACAACCCATTTGATGTTGCTCTTCTTTGGCAGGGCATAAGGTCAAAGGTCACAGCAGTAAGTCTCTTTTCTCTCTCTTTCTTTTCTTTTAAGCTCATTTGAGCCAAAGGCTAAAGAGAGCTTTTCTTATTTTCCTCTGATCTGTCATCATTGTTGAAAAATGCTTACATTTTCACCTTCTTCTCCTGAACCACTGGGTCAGTTTCATTTTCATACTGTAAAAGCAAATTAGTATTAAAAAATATCATGCAAGTAGTTGATTTGTTTTTCTGTTTAAGCTTTGCTGGCACCCAGAAAAAGAGGGACGTCTTGGATTTGGAACAGATGATGGTAGAGTGGGTGTATTTGATACCTTATCTAACAAGTAAGTGTGTGGAGTTACTCTTCCAGGGGTAAAAATTCCTAGGAATTACTATTCAATCCTGTTTCTGCTTCTTTATTTACCAGTATACAAATAGGAAATCAAATGGAGGTTATGGTAAAAATAGCTTTCACAAAAACACCCTAGAATTATTTTCTATTTTTACTCTATTGTAGACATCCTTATGTATCCTCCCATTACCATAGGAGAACAGTGTATGTCATGGCGTGGGGACCTCCTTGTTCAGGTAATGCACTGTTAAACATGTGCAGAGGCATGTTATCAAAATTAACCTTGATACAAATGATTGAAATCATTTAGGGTATTAGCCTAGCCCCTCTTGTATTTCAACAGCTTCAAAAGTTCTACTTGTATATGATGAGGTGTTTTGTATGTTGACATGAAGGTGGGGTGTTGCTAATGAAGTCATAAATGCATTTATAAAATTGTGCAGCAAGTCTAATGTTATTTACTTGGTAAATAGTTTGATTAAAATACATTATATTTTTTGTAGAAATTAAATTAAAGTAATGAATTTAATTTTCGTTAAACCACAGATTTGAACAAATTTATTTTTTTCCTTCAGAAGTGGAGAATGATCCGTCTTTTGTGCTGTACAGTGTGGGGGATGGCATCATCCTGTCACATGACCCAAAGAACTTTCAGAATGAGGCTCAGGATATTAATTCACTCATTTTCAAAACAAATGGACCAAAGGTTATTAATAGAATTGTTGTTTTGTTTTGTGCAGAAAAAAATTAATATCTCAAACTATAAGCAAAATGTTTTGAAAAAAATATATAATTTCTCCTTTTACACGATAATTGAATGAACATCAGCATTAGGTCCTAGCTGATATATTCAATCAAAAAAGACAATATACAATTGTGAAAGTAGACAGTTATATTTTTTTTCTTGAATAATGACTGAGAATACAATAATTGGAAAGGCAGATGAGTAACTGGTTATGGTTTTAAAAATTGATGGATTTGACCACCTTTCTTTATATAAATGAAATAAATGTTTATAATTTTAGCCAAGAGTACCAATTCGAAGTGAAATAAGCTGGAACCCAGATTTTTCTTTGGTGGCCATTGGTAATGATGATGGGTATGTGAGAGAGTTTTATTTTTTCTAACGTTTTAAACCTCAGCAGCTTTCCATTATACAAATTAAATCCTCTACCTGATTTGTAACCATGAAAGCAGAGTTAAAGTGATACTGTGTAATGAGAAATTTTGCTCTGTTTAATTTTTGCCTCTCTCACCCTGTGTAAAAGGGTGAAAATAATACTGTGTACAGTACTCAAAGGCTGAAGTGAAATTTGAATTGATATTAGAAGAAGGATCTGAATTTGCTTTTGTAACTGTATGTCCAAAAATTTAAACAACTTGCATTTTTTTTTTTTTTACAGCTCTGTTGAAATTTACAAGCCTCCTCTGTTGAATCTCCTGTGTGTTGTTCACATCCACCACAAACTGGTGAATTCCATCCAGTGGCACCCTATACACAATGTAGACACCGCCAGCAGTCAGCGGTTTTACATCACAACGGGTTCTAATGAAGCCGCCATCCAGGTGGTGGACTTATCCTCTGTACTTGGTAAGAGTTAATTTCAGTATTTGTATTGCATGGTCAGGAGGATATAAGTGCTTTCAAGATGAAATCTTATTGTAGCAATAAACAAACGTTTCCTTACATTGTATTTAGAAGGTTTAGCTGAAGTTTGTTTCCTTTTAGTATTAAAAAGTGGAATATTTTAATAGCATAAGATATTTTAATTAAATTAATTTATGTATTTTTTACAACCCTGTGTTGTTCTCATATACTGGGTAGACTTGGACAACATAATATATAGCATTGCCAGCAACATGTATATCCTGTATCTTGTTTGTAGGCAGAGTTCCTGAGAAGAGTGACAATGTAGTGTTGATATCGGAGGCTAAATATACCCTATTTGGACACAGTAACAGAATCATTGGTCTACAATGGAGTCCACATGATGACAACAAACTGGTGTCTGTCTCCTTTGATGGCTCAGCAAGGGTAAGTTCATCCTATAATTAGAGTACATGTATGTGTACTAATGTTTTGATGGAAACTTTAACGGGTCGGGTACACTACCTTATATGGAAGGCAATTTTCAACACATGACAATGTTTTTGTCACACCTATTCTCCAATCAACTGAATGAGTACCAAAGCATAACACTCTACTATGTGTTTACGCTTCAATAGCGACACATGGTTTTCGTCAGTTTACTCCAAAATATTTACTTTGTCACTGAAAAAAGCTTCTTTTTCACTTTATAACAGAAAAATTGAAAAATTATATTACAAAGACACTGCTCCAAGCTCACATTTCATATCTGAGTTGTTTTAGATGATTAATAGTTGCTTCAAATAACATACAAACGCTTTGACGTTTGCATGTACATAAGAAAACTTTATGATAATATTGAGGGGTTAAATAATAATTGTGCACCTTGTCTGCTGTCTAAAACTATGTACATGTATATCATGAGAAAAAAAAAACTCTCTATGCTTTATCGACATGATAGCACGTATGTCTCTTTGAACAATGGTTTAGGCCGATGTATAAAAAGTTGATAAAAGGCTTCATAAAGCAAATTTTGTAAATGTGAACATAGAAATGAAAGATTTTACATCATTTTAAATATTTCTTTCATAAATCTCAAAAAAGAATTGAAAATGAGTTTCCAACGGACAATTCAAGTTGCCATTTTTTTCCGGCACAACTGAGTACTTTTAGTAGCCCATAATATATTGAGATTCATTCATCAGTGGGAAAAGTAAATGGATAGCTAATTTACATGCAAATTTATGCTGACATCAAAAATCTAGTGGTCTTGACCTGTTTAAATGAAACTGGAAAAAGATATTTTGTTCAAATAAGGATGATACACAAAATCACTGCAATCCTTTCATGTTTTCAGTTAAGGTACCGGTGTCATATAATATATTGAACCCCGCGATATTTTGAACCCGGGTTCAAAATATCGCTGCGAAATATTGAACCCCCCTATAAAATATTGAACCCGGGGTTCAAAATATCGCTGCGAAATATTGAACCCCCCTATAAAATATTGAACCCGGGGTTTACAGGGAGGGGGTTCAAAATATTATGGCCATAAAATATTGAACCCCCGTGCCCTTTAAATTTAAGAGGGAGGGGGTTCAAAATATTATGGCCATAAAATATTGTGTCCCCCAGCCATTTTAATTTATGAGGGAGGGGGTTCAAAATATTATGGCCATAAAATATCGAGTCCCCAACCCATTTAAATTTACAGGGAGGGGGGTTCCAAATATTATGGCCATAAAATAATGAGTCCCCCATCCGTTAATTTTACAGGGATGGGGGCTCAAAATATTATGGCTATAAATTACTCAGTCACCCTATTGAACTGTTTTGAAAAGGGAGTCATGATATAACATGCCTGCAAATAATCTAAAATCTTTCTCCCACTTACACACTTCCACTACTTGAGAGTAGGGTATCTTTATTATAAAACTTTTTTTTCACATGCAATTCTTAAAGAATTGAGGGTAGGATAATATAATCATAATATTGAAGTGTACAATTGTTACAAAGGAAATAATTTTTTTTTTTTACTATTAAACCCACAATATTCTACATCAAATAACTATAATTATATACATGTATCATGATGTCTGATAGAAAATACATTTCTGTGTCTTCCATTGAATCTCATAAGGTATTTGTTCATTTTTTTTTTAATTGTATATAATGTAATTAACAATTTGATAAAGGAAATTTTAAGGAACAATGCTGTTGAATAAGAAAGGTATCTCTCCATTGAGGAGGTAACGGGGGTATAGCACCTGTGTATTGTGTGTACACAGGGAGGTGTCATAGGAGGTCAACAATCCCCACTGTCTTGTTGCTTCCCCTTTGTGGTTTCTATATTATGCAATACAGTGTTTTGAGAGTGCACTGATAGGGTAGACCAGATTGAGGGGTGGTTAACTTACATACAACATTCAGGTGTTTAAATAGAGTTAATTAAAGCAATAGTAATCATTACAACGTCATGCTCAAGAAGAGATGGAGGTCTCCGAGTATACAGAGCTGGTGAACTTCCTCGGCAGTCCATCTGACAGACGAGAATGAGGACGAGGAATTCTATTATCTTTGTTTTAGCAATTTATTGTATGTGGGTGAATTAAAAAAATATTGACTATTAAATTTTTTTTTTTTTTTTTTTTTTGAAATTTTCAACTACCCATAACATATTTTTCACTGATTCTATATCATCATATAGTGCATGTATTCCAGTTAAAATTTTTGTAGTGGCAATATGACCATTAAATAAAAAAGTTTCAGAGTTTTTAAATTATAATTAATGCAACTTTTTCTGAAAAAAAAGAAAATAACAAAAGCTATAAGTCCTTAAAGATTTTCTAAAACTTCCAATCTAAAGAAATGTAATTTTTATGCTCCGAAATTGTAATTGAACAGCAATAGAAATTATAAATTCTTAACTTTTATTAATTAGTTTCTTCTCTTGTATATATATTTTTAAAAAAAAAAGGTTTTTGATTGATGTTTTTTAATAACATTATTTTTTCCAATTCTGAGTTTTAAGATAAAACCATGAACTTTTATGACATACAATTTTTCTTATTTAAATAAAAATACTAAATTTTGAATCTATCTTATTTTAAATTATTGAAATTATTGTGTTGGGCATTCCTGACCACTGATGTGTATTAAAAATATTTATCATTGGTGTAAAAATTAATTATAAAATGCAATAATCTATTCTCAGCTTGGAAAGCAGTACTAGTAAGGTGTAGTTTAAATAATTTACATCAAATAGTTTCAATTTATATTTTAGTGAAAAAATAAGATCTTTGTTACATGTAATTGTTGCACTTCTGACTGCAGTAAAAAGGAAAGTTAAACCCAGAGAAGGGTTTAAATATTTGACATCATCGAGTTATTGAAAAAAAAGGTGCAATATTTTTAGCCTTAAACTTAAAAATTAAAATGCATGAAATTATTTAAATGGTTAATATCTTGCATTATTCCCTATTAATGTTTATGAGGTCATAACAAAAAACATTCTCCTATTAATTTTTTCTTTATGTTTTATTGCACTCCTGACCAAGACAATGGGAGTCTTTAAATTAGAATTGTGAGGTGAAATAACATCATCATTTGTTCTCTTGTTTCTATCAAGTTGAGGATGTTAAAAATGTGTTTGGTCTTTTTTTTTTAATTCACCCCTGTATGCATGCATGGAGCTACTTTGCATAATGAAGAATGTAATTAGATTTTATTTTATTCAAACTATTTCTATACATTACTCATAGTTATATGTTACTTCTCTTTGAATGTTTGTATACTTTTTAGCTCAACTGGTCAGAGACCATGCAGAAAAGAGCTTATGCGATAGAGCATATCTGTAAATAATTTTTTAAAAATGCTACTCCTATATTCAAGTTCTTACTGACACAAGAATTTTTCTCTTAATTTGTTAAAAATACAAACCAGCTGAGCTACAGTCTAGACAGAGACTGGTTGGAAGTAATATGTATATAATGATGATATATACTAGTATATCCATGCAATTTAAAATTATTTATTTTCCTGAAAGTATATGGACAAGGATGATGATTAGAAGGTATTCAATGTATAAAGAAATTTGAATCATTCTAAACTAGTTAAAATGCATTGCTAGATAATGATATGAAATGACTGATAACATACTTTGTGTTCTAAAGTCTTGTGTTCTAAAGTCTTAAGGTCACCAGTTACTCAGGGGACCTATTGATATCCTTTTTAATGACGACTTTGGTTGTGTGTCGTTTGTTAACATTTTAAGCTTCTTCTCTGAACCCACTTAACCAATTTCAACCAAATTTGGAATATACATCTATGGGTGAAGGGGAACAACAAAAATTAATCAATTTCATGGTAGCAGAGGCAAACAGAGATAAGTTTTGGTATACAAGGGTATTGTATTTTTACCAGCATTTTGAACATCAGGACCAATTAGTCAAGTGTCCTGGTCCTGGCCAGGGCTCGATCTATTAAATTGTATTCTGCTGGGCAAAATTATTCCCCTTTGCCACTCACCTTTGATAATTCATACGTGTAAATAATGTATTTGAAAAGTTGATAGAATAAGAGAATTTTGCAAGAATATCGGGTCATTCACCAGATTTTTCAGTCCTTGAGAAAGGAATTTCTTGTGCAATATTTGCCATTTTGGGATTATGTAGACTCTAATTCATAAAAGTTCATAGTCTTTTGGAACTTTTAAAAAGAAAGTCTATAAATTTATTTTCTAAAAATTATCATCTCGGTTTCAAGTCAAAATAAGTTCTGAATTCGTTTATAATTTACCAATAATAACCAATTAAATTATATCAATACATGGACGACCTACAGGTGTAGTGTCATCTATGTAAACACCCAATTAACACGTCCATGCCAGCCCCAGGCGTTAACAGTTATCCCTGGTAAGTCCAGGCTCAATTTTACGCTTGATCGGCGTGTACATACACGCGCAATCAAAACTTCGAGAGATAGAGAGTAAAATTCAATGAAATATGTGTTACGGGACCCAGGTTTTGGTTCGAGAGATGGAGAACTTTGAGAGATAGAAGTTCGAGAGATCAGGAGTAAATTTGCTTAGTTATATAGAGGAAAAAAACGGGACCGGAGGTTCACTTCGAGAGATCGAGAACTTCGAGAGATCGGAGTTCGAGCCATCGAGAGTCACCTGTATTTAAAATTCCACCACTCAAAAATGTAACAGAAATCCAATATGAAGCAATCATCATGATGTAAAATTATCATACTCAACATGAAACAAAGACACACACACACGTACAATAAAGTCATCAATATTTTATGATATTATCTTAAAGCACTTCTCTTCACTCTCCCTAAAACATAAAAAGGTCAGGGGACTCGATATTTTATTGCCATATTATTTTGAACACCCTCCTTCTTGAATTAAAAGGGTAGGGGGACTCAATATTTTATGGCCATAATATTTTGAACCCCACCCCTTCTTGAATTAAAGGGTAGGGGGACTAAATATTTTATGACAATAATATTTTGAACCCCCCTCCCTGTAAAATTTAATGGGCAGGGGGACTCAATATATTAGGCTATATTATTTTGAACCCCCCTCCCTCATAAATTAAAAGGACAGGGGGGTTCAAAATTTTATGGCCATAATATTTTGAACCCCCCTCCCTCTAAAATTAAAGAGTCCAGGACAGGGGGACTCAATATTTTATGGCCATAATATTTTGAGCCCCCTCTTTCATAAATTAAAAGGGCAGGGGGACTCGACATTTTATGGCCATAATATATTGAACCCCCTCCCTCTTAAATCAAAAGGACAGGGGGGCTCGATATTTCATGGCCATAATATTTTGAACCCCCCTCCCTCTTAAATCAAAAGGGCAGGGGGACTCAATTTTTTATGGCCATAATATTTTGAACCCCCTCCCTCATAAATCAAAAGGGCAGGGGATTCGATATTTTATGGCCATAATATTTTGAACCCCCCTCCCTCTTAAATCAAAAGGGCAGGGGGGTTCAATATTTTTTGGCCATAATATTTTGAACCCCCCTCCGTCTTAAATCAGAAGGACAGGGGGGTTCAATATTTTATGGCCATAATATTTTGAACCCCCCTCCCTCTTAAATCAAAAGGGCAGGGGGACTCGATATTTTATGGCCATAATATTTTGAACCCCCCTCCCTCTAAGATTAAAAAGGACGGGGGTTCAGTATTTTATGGCCATAATATTTTGAACCCCCCTCCCTCTTAAATCAAAAGGGCAGAGGGACTCGATATTTTATGGCCATAATATTTTGAACCCCCCTCCCTCTTAAATCAAAAGGGCAGGGGGACTCGATATTTTATGGCCATAATATTTTGAACCCCCTCCCTCATCAATTAAAAGGGCAGGGGGACTCAATTTTTTATGGCCATAATATTTTGAACCCCCTCCCTCATAAATTAAATGGACAGGGGGACTCGATATTTTATGGCCATAATACTTTGAACCCCCCTCGCTGTAAATTTAAATGGGTAGGGGAATCGAATCCCCCTCCCTTTTAAATCAAAAAGGCAGGGGGGTTCAATATTTTATGGCCATAATATTTTGAACCCCCCACCCTCTAAATCTAAAAAGGACAGGGGGGTTCAATATTTTATGGCCATAATATTTTGAACCCCCCTCCCTGTTAAATCAAAAGGGCAGGGGGGTTCAATATTTTATGGCCATAATATTTTGAATTCCCTCCCTCTAAAATTAAAACGGACAGGGGGACTCAATATTTTATGGCCATAATATTTTGAACCCCCTTCCCTGTAAATTTAAATTGGTAGGGGACTCGATATTTTATGGCCATAATATTTTGAACCCCCCTCCCTGTAAAATTAAATAAGCAGGGGGACTCAATATTTTATGGCCATAATATTTTGAACCCCCCTCCCTGTAAAATTAAAAGGGTAGGGGGACTCAATATTTTATGGCCATAATATTTTGACCCCCCCTCCCTGTAAAATTAAATGGGCAGGGGGACTCAGTATATTATGGCCATAATATTTTGAACCCCCTACCTCTTAAATGAAAAAGGTAGGGGTTCAATATTTTATAAGGGGGTTCAATATATCGCAGCGAAAAAGTGAACCCGGGTTCAAAATATTATGCGATATTTTGAACCCGGGTTCAATATATAGCGGTATCAAAATATTATGCTACACCCGTCCTATTGTTAAATGAATTATTTTAAATTGATGGACAGAATTTCATTTTAGCAAGCACAACTGAAAATAAGCATACTAGAATTTTCAGAGAGCTTTTGTTCATAAACTACGAACAGGCTTAAGTCAATATTTCAAACCAGTATAACATTTGAAATAAGTTTGATAATGAAACAAATTTTTCATTGTATGTTTGAATTTAAAAGTTAAACAAAACTGCATTTTTATTAGCAAATACCATATAATCCCTATTAACTGCCCCTGCCCCTATAAGTGCCCCCTTAGGTCTTTTTCAATTGTCAGGAAATAAGGACCCCCTGTACAGTGATTAAAATCAAAAAGAATTTTATCAAAAAATTGAAGAAAGTGAAAATGAAACTTGTCTGTTATCCAATTTCTCAGTGGAAAATGAATAATTAAGCATAATTTTGGTGGATTATCTTCACTTTAAATAAGACATTACATTGTATTTGAGAGGTTCCTTGTATTTATTTTTTTTTCAAAAGATTTTTGAAGTTAAAATATGACATTAAAGATCATAAAGAGAATCGCTTTTAACCGCTCCCTTTTCACAAGGGCGGTTAATAGGGATTATTCGGTACATTAATTACAATTCAAGATATTAAAAAAAAATCAAAGAAATTGACTTCAATACAGTGTATTTTCTCTGGTTATGGTCATTGGGCCAGGTGAACATTGTAGCCCAGGGGCCTCTTGTCCTTTGTGGGACTTAACTGATGAAAGTGTGAATAAAAGTTCATGGTACTTGGTAACTGACAAGGCCTGTGGTTTCTTGTTTGATTCACCGACACAATCTTACTGATTATTTATCATCTCAGAAGGGTCCCTGTGTGTGTTTTATACATCATTTGACAGTATTTTTCCAGGTTGAAATAATTTATTTAAATTTTTAAAAATACAAGCATGTAGTGTAGATTCAAGTTCGAATCATAGTCCCACAGGTCCTAAGAAAAGCCAGATTTACTTTTACATTGGAATGTTTAAAAATAAATGTTTTTAAAGTTTTCTCAGAGTCACTGGCCCATTTATGCATGCAACTCATGTAGTATAGATTTTGTGGATTGTAGCCTGATGGGCTAGGTCAAGGCTAAACAATGGGTTAGAGTTCATTTAAATATTTCTAATATTATTTATTTTACATAGAAGTATGTGAACTTGAGGATGGGGAACAGATAAATAAACTGTAAAAAAGACATCCAAAATTTAATTTATTTTAATGTTTGAAGTCATGATATTTGAAATGATGATCTTAAAAATGAGGATTTATTAACTTAGGTTTTGTAGGTGTTAGAAAAAAGTAGATGATTCAGACAAGTGTTGTATTCAAGAGCTTTTGTATTAGAGATTTTATACCAGCTTATCAAAATTTGAAATAGAATGATATTTTATGTAAATTAACTATCTTAATTATATTCTTATGACCTTAAGGTTTGGGAAGTGAGTAGAGGTCAGACAATTGCCAGTTACCATGGTCACCGAGGTCGTCTGCTGTGTGTGCAGTGGAGTGGATCCGATCCAGATGTGGTGTTTACAGGTGGAGAAGACTTCACACTCCACAAGTGGAGAATCTCCAAAAATCCACATTCTGTGGAAGATGATGGTAAATATGTAATTAAAATATAGGTGCATGTAATAATCATCCATTTAAAAAAAGGAATATACCATAATTTTTGTGTTAAAAGTGGGTTTAAATTTGAATTTCTATATATTTATATCTTAGAACTTATTTTTGATTAATATTGACTGAAAAAATCCATACCATTTGCTATTTTTATTTTGATTCATTCCTCCATGTTGTTTTGTTTCCTTGTCGCAAGTGATTTTTCAATGACAGAAAATAATGTTCAGATGTGATTGTTTTGTTTTTGTAAAGGAAATATGGTTTATGCCAAAAGCATTTTAATGTCATAGATCACTGTTAATTAATTATCAGGATAGATTCTCATTTATCATGTAACGCCCACGCTCATAAATGTGCAAGGTCGCGAGTAGTCAACATTTGCAGACTTCATTAAGAAATTGGAAAATCCAATTGTCTTATTCTCCTGAGTGTTTGTTCAAGTTTTAGAATTTAAAAACCTCTGATGCTGAAATAAACCTCTGGAGTACATTGTTCTAGCAAAAACACTGCAATTTTTTCAAAGCATGATATTATGAAGCTGCAAGAAAGATAGTTTTCATTAAAAAAAAATTTTTCAATTACTTGTATTTTTTTTTATCAAACAGGTAAGATTTTAAAAACTTTTAATCCTTGAAAAATAAATTAACACTGAACAGATATACTGTGAGTGTATCTTTTTACATGGATTGAAGATTTCGAGGAAAGTTCTGGTGTTTTATCAATCATTGTGATCAAATTGCAGTGATCATGCAATTCTAAGTGTTAGATACACAGATAAGAATTGTCCTCTAAATGAAACACACCCAAATCTAGCAACTATTTATATAGCAGAGAGGCTTGAATCACTTTATCTTGTAAACATCCAATTGCTCTTAAATGGTCATTGATTATACATGCATGTTCTTTTTAACATAACTAAAATGTTAAATGTGGGCATACAATCACAAAAAACAGAAATCTGTGCTAGGCCCTGCATGAAACTTGTCGGAAAACATAATGTTAATGTCTGTCAAAAAAAAGCAAAATAAATCAGGTTATAAAGTGCTGTCACATGTTAACGTTTAATATTACTTCTGTAGGCTTTAGCTGCAGGTGTGGACGTCCTTGTTATTAACATCAGTTTTGTATATTTTTTACTCTCTCCTTAAATGTGAGATAACATTTATGTAAAGGTCAATTTGCAACCAAGTTTATATCATTGACTTTATTTTTTTTTAACATTTTTCAAACTTGGTAAGTGATATACATAAAGAACAAAAAACAAACAAACAAACAAACATGATATCTTAAGTCACATAGAGGTATTTTTATATGTAAGAATTTCATAAGTCCATAATTCAGTGTCAGCTGTCAGTTTTATAGTAAATTATTGAATGGAAGTTATTATAGTACCTATTTCAACTACTGGGCAGTAAATTCAGACAAAAACTCCCCAAACACAACTGGTAGTCTTATAGCATATACCCTGTCTTTTAGCACTCAGAAAGAAAAAACCAAAATCCAAAGGAAGGAAAAAAATTCCAAGAGATGATGATAAAAAGTCTCAAGAGTGCACAGGGTCAAATCAGGGTGTCAAAGGATCAAGTCAAGAAAGGGAAGGAGAGGTCACAGGGTCATCAGTTACCTTGGATACAGAAACCCAGGCCAGTTTGGATGATCTTATACAGAGAAAGAAAGCTGAACTTGAAGGCACAGATTATAAACCCAGTGAAGGTTCTTATTTATATCCTGTGGTTGTTTATTTACATTTTACTTATTAATACTTACTTAGCAATAAGTCTCAGAATATTGCATTATCTGAAATAATAATGTATCTGAGATTTTTTTAAAAAGGCTAGGGGTTGATTTTGTTTGGGTAATTAATGTACATGTATAGATGAGATGACTTAAGTAAGGTAATTTTATTTTAAAATATGCTTTCTTCCACAGAAAGTGGTTTTGATGTGAAATCAGAGGGTATCTCCAGCGGTAACACAGAGCTGACATTACCCATAATACAACAGGGGGAGGTTTCCGTGGATGCTAGCTCAACCTCTAGGAGCAGAGAAAGTAAAGGTTAATAATTATGCCCCCCTTTGAAGAAGGGAGGGCATATTGCTTTGCTGCTGTCTGTCGGTCGGTCGGTCTGTCAGTCCATTTAGTTTCCATTCATTTTCTTCACAACCGTTGCACATACTGAAATGAAATTTGGTATACAGGTATATCAGATGAATATCTAGGTCAATTTGTGTTTTGGGTACGATAGCACCATTTTTGACAGAGTTATGCCCCTTGGACTTAGAAAAATTCCAACTATTTGCAGTTTCCGTTCATTTCCTTTGAAGAGGTTTCAGACAATGAAATGGAATTTAGTATACAGATTAGTCAGAAATATATCTAGGTCAAGTTCAGTTTTGGGTACGATAGCACCATAATTGACAGAGTTTTGCCCCTTGGACTTAGAAAAATTCCAATTTGTGGGGGAGGGGGGCATAAGTGTTTTACAAACATCTCTTGTTTACATAGATTTTTCAATTAAGGCATAATATATTTCAGTCTGATTAGCAATAATGATAAGCAGAAATGTAAAACACAAGTTATAAAACATTGTTTGGTCCATTTTTCCAATATCCCAGAAATGGAAGATATATTGTTATTGATTGTGTTTCCCCTATTTTAGATTATATCTGTGCGTAAGGAGAATTTTCACTGCCAAATGAATGGTTCTCAATGAAATTAATTGTATTAGTTAGTGTTACTGTTAGCCCAGGGAAACACTTATGTGAAAAGTGCTAGATATTTTTGCAATTTCAGTTCAGTTGGCAAGGAATATAACCTTTAACCTTTTAAGTTATCACCACAGTTATTAATTTCCCTACATAAATCTATGAAGAAAATTAATTACAAAAATAATATTATGGAAGGAAGTGTTTTATATTTAACATTGGGCAATGCCAAAAACATAGTACATAAATAACTTTGCTTGATTTTTTTAATATAGCCTCAAATCCATTTTTTTGTTCTTTTTACCCTAACTAATACGGTGTTTCATTTTTAGCTCACCTCAACGAAGTTTATACATCTGATACCGTCGAACGTTCCGGGTTAAGGTTAAGTTTTTTGGAGCAGTTTAAAAATTTTTAAGTACTTCTATGTCCTATATTGATTAGACATGCATGGAAGATGTTTCTAATGTGTTTCATTGTACCAGTCAAAGGTTCAGATGCTGCAATTTCAGCAAAGGAATGACCTGGTTAATGTTTTTGGTGCAAGTTAACATTTTTGGTGCAGTTTTTGATGTAGGTCTCATTTCCTAACTATAAGCCCTATGTTGACCAAACTTACATGGATGGTACATCTTAGGATGCATACTATCAGACTTGCTTCGGATGCAGAATCTGACCTACATTTTCCGGTTGAGTAAACAGGTTCAAGTTTTTGGTGCAGGTTTCTTTTCAAAGATACTATGAGCCCTATAATGACCAAACTTGCATGGATGGTACATCTTAGGATGCATTCTATAAGTTACTTCGGATGCTGAATCTGACCTACATTTTCTGGTTGAGTGAACAGGTTAAAGTTTTTGGTGCAGGTTTCATTTCCAAGTTTCTATGAGACATATAATGACCAAACTTGCATCGATGGTACATCTTAGGGATGCATACTAATTCTTGCTTCTGGATTCTGAATCTGACCTACATTTTCCGGTTGAGTGAACAGGTTAAAGTTTTTGGTGCAGGTTTCATTTCCAAGTTACTATGAGACATATAATGACCAAACTTGCATCGATGGTACATCTTAGGATGCATATTACAAGACTTGCTTTGGATGCTGAATCTGAACCTACATTTTCCGGTTTTGAACAGGTTAAAATTTTTGGTGCAGGTTTCTTTTCCAAGGTACTATGAATCTATAATGACTAAAGTTCTTGTTTGTACATCTTAGGATAAATCTTTACCAGACTTTTCGGATGCTGAATCTGACCTACATTTTGTGGACGAGTAAACAGGTTAAAATTTATGGTGCAGGATGAATTTCCAAGTAACTTTGAGAATTATAATGATCAAACTTGCATGGATGGTATATATAAGGGTGACATTAATTAGGCTGGCTTCAAACACAGCTGAATCTACCTACATTTTCTGGATTAGTGAAAAGGTTAGTTTTTTATACAGGTTTCAATTCCAAGTAACTTTGAGCTCTATGTTGAACAAACTTGGATGATACATCTTAGGACGCACACTAATGGACTTGCTTCAGATGCTGAATTCGACATACATTTTCCAGATAATAGACCTCGTAAAAGTTATGGGTGCAGGTCTATAACCAAGAAACTATACCAAAGTTGCACAAATGATGCATCAAGATATGAAAACTCTCAATCTTGCTTCAGATGCTGGATTTTAATTACATTTTCATGATGAAGAACTAGTTTTAAGTTTTTACATAGGTCTATTCCAAAGTTTCAAAATTGCATAAATTTTGCATTTTTGGATGTACACTTTTTGTTGGTTAATTGTGTGACTTAATTTGCCTTATTCAGATGACTAACATTCGTTGAGGTGAGCTCTGTAATCTCTGATTACCTATGTTTAATTAATCATAGAGATTTATTACATCTTTTACCCTGAACAAATATTGTTCCTTTGAGAAATATCATTAATGAACAAAATATTAAAAATATTTTAATACAATGTACATTGTACCAGCCCAGATTAAAAAAAAAAATAATTAAAACAAAAGTGAAGGTTATGTATATGTGGAACTATAGGTTGTCAAGTTTATGTTGTTTGGTCAAGTAATGATCTGAGACCTTGAGAAATCTCACATTTCTAACAGCCATTCTACAAGGCAATTAGTCGGGGAGGAGTATTGATATTCCATTCAAGCATTCAAAGGACATGAAGTGCAATAGCTAATTTTAAGAGCTGCATTATACAATGAATTTTCTGTGAAATTTAAGGCTCATTCCAAGTACAGTGAAGAACTAGCTAGCCTAGCTACAAAGATAAATATATACAGAATGAAAATTACTTATAAGTTATTTGTTGATAGAAATACATTGATCATTTCTTGATCCTTGAATTTAATGCTAGAAACAGGGGTAATAAGTGGAAAGTGAAAATGTTCAGTAAATGTGTGGGTGTAAGTCAAGGATACATATAATGTAACTTCTTGTATCCTGTTTCAGAGTTGGCTTTCCAGGTCAGCTGAATTTTTGCTATGCACTGTATTGTTGAATGGAGTGATTGGTCCCTCCGTCATTTTCAAGCAACTTCTTGAATGGCTGGATACCCTGGTGCATGTTTTTTAGCAGTAAAATATAAATCTGAAAAGGGATAACTTCAAAAAGTTGTACAGTATACACATATTTTGAATTAATACTGCCTACTCAAATTTCCACATTTTAAACTTTTAATTGTCAAGGACAAGAAGAGTTTATTTGATAGTAAGGTGTCAATCATATGTCTGTCTTGTTTGTTTGTCTGATAAACTCTTTATAATTTTTTAATGTTTGAAGTCTCCATCATTATTTTCAAACTTTTCAACTTCCAATGTGAGACAATCAAGAAAAGGCAACATGAAATTCACATGCTCTTACCTCAGAATTATAATGAAAATGAAATATAGGACTCAAATATATAATCATGACAATTAATATGACCCAAACACATCTGATATTATTATGCATTTTGTTTTGTGACTTGCAATATTAAGCCTTGAGAAAGTTCAGCACCATACATTGATTGAGCTGTTTTCTATAAACAAAGAATTATTATCATTACAGTATTATTCTACATTGGTATGTAATGAATTAATCCTGACAAAATATAAAGATAGGGATGACAGTCTTCTCTAGATATGAAGAATAAAAGACTTAAAGCCTAATTTAGTTCTAGTCAGATATTAAAAGTACAGATGACGGGATTCTCTAGATGTGAAGAATAGAGATTTTAAGTTTAATTCAGTTCCATAGCTAGATATCAGGAGTAGAGATGACAGGATTCTCTAGGTGTGAAGAATAGATAACTGAAATCTAGCTACATATTGATTAAGAGTAGAGAATTCTGTAGGGGTGAAAAATAAAGACACTGAGTCTTATTCAGATGTTCTAGCTTGAAATGAGGAATAGAGATGACAGAATTCTCTAGATATGAAGAATAGAGACTATAAACCTAATTGAAATCTAGCTAGAGATCAAGAGTAGAGATCGTCAGAGGACTGAATTTCGTAGGCGTAGGTGTGAATAATAGAAATTTTAAGTATCATTCAGTTTCTCTAGCTAGATATCAAGAGTAGAGATGACTGGATTGTCTAGATGTGAAGAGAGATTTTTAACTTAATTCAGTTTTCCTTGCTAGATATCGAGAGTAGAGATGACAGAATTCTTGAGTAGAGACACAAAGCTTAAATCAACTTCCCTAGATAGACAAAACTCTTTTTGTCATGTGAAGTCTTTAGAACCTTAGTGATTATCCATAAATGGTTCCTTGTATGCATGCTTTGTTAATCTTCCATTGATAGGTAGGGCCTTCTATGTCACTAAACTGCATTTAAGGTAAAAATTGAAATTTTCAGAATTGTCAAACTCTACTTGGAAAATATTCATCTGCCTGCCAAGTACTCTTCTCTATCAGAGTGACAAAGTAATTGTATGTTTCACTTTAACTTCAGAGTAGTGATTCTACTTTAGAAATCAATTCATTCTGTGAAATTAATTCATTGAAAGTTTTTAAATCTTAAAATCAAGTACTCAGTGTCTGTTTCATGCAAGTTATTTGGATATCAAGTCATTGCCTAGGGAAGGGTGAATGTCTTCAGCAATTATGATTTTTTTTAATCTACAACCGCATGAACTCCTATATTATTCAGTTTGCAATAAAAAGGGTGAAAACAAACTATGAAATAACTTTATGAAATATTTCTTTGTGAATTAAAATGGCATGAATATAAAATGTAAAGTTGCTTCCAGAAAATGACATTAATGAAGTGCATATATTGAAGCTGCAAATCTGCTTTATAACATTTTATTTCTCTTAAGGGCAACTTTTCCTTTTTTCCATTTCCAAAATGTTCCCAATTTAATGCTGCAGATGATTCTGAAGTCTCTTTGGACTTCTTTGTTAGACAATTAGATTTATGTATATTTTCTGTTCAGATGAATCGATAGCCTCTGGGAATTTTATGGCATATAAATTTCTCTAATTTAAAAAAGAAAAATATTTCATGAATTAAAATTTATTAAAAAGTGAGAAGTGATACATTTGCATGCACCAGACAGTAATACAGGAAAAAAAATTAATCATTTTATCAATATCATGTAAGAAATGCATACTTGTAATCTTTCTGTGTAAAGTTTAAAGTACAGAATACCATGGTACAGAGAAAAAGAGAGAACCCTGAGGCCTAAATCTCTAGAGTTCATGATCAATTCCGGAAGCCGTTCAAACGGAGCACTAAATGCTAGCCCCAAATCCCACCATTGTTCAATTGGATAATCAATGTATATTACTGCAGACTAACGACTTTTTAGCACGCTTTAATATCCTGTCAATTTACATTTATTTATATCATGACCTACATATATTTTTTCTGCGACTTGGACTGGAACCCTAGATCAGCAGTTTTCTTTCTGTGACCCTGGTTACCATGGTGATGGGTTGACTGTCTGTTGGTTCAGTTGCTAGCAGAAGTCAAGAGTTCATTTTTCTGTTTCATATAAAATCAATAAGCTCTAAATGATGTTCCTTGGGATAAGTTAAAAGATAAATGGCCATTTTGCTTCCTTTTTTTCCAGAATTTGATTTATATTATAGTAAATGTAGGAGAAAAAGAGGTGAAATTAATACTTTAAATCTCAGCAGCAATGTAAAGGTACATTTCTTAAAGACACTGCAATCATTTACCTGTAGCTTCACTGAAATAATTAAAATTTCATCAAGTCTGACCTTTTGTATAGAAAGTAAATGAATGTACCTTTGCTTGACAGTGAAAGTGATCACTGTACTTTAACTGCTAACTGCAAAATATATGTGTCAATCGATGTTGTGTTAAGAAGTTCTAAAACATGAAAATCAAAGAGGCATAACAAAATGTATGTAAGTTAGTGCATTTTCAAGTCTGCTGATAATGTCGATAAAAGTGACATCTTTATGCTCAATTATAAAATATTTTGTTAGATACTGTGCAGTTTAATGTTGACTGTAAGTTTTGAATAACAAGAGGTCCATGATCTACAATGCTCACCTTTTATATTGAAAAATGAAGGGCTTTGTTTGATTACAGTGAAATTAAAACTTCAAATGCATGTGAAATTAAAAGTTAAGAGCAATCAGAAAAAAGTTATATTCCGAATAAACTATTATCAGTCATATTTAAAGGCTGGCATCCCAAGTTAGTGTCAATTCAACAAATTATTCAAATGATGGATATAAGATCAAAGTGCTTCCAAAGTCCGATGTTATGCGCCAAACCCCGATGGTGTAAATGGTGAAATGTCATAGTACCTCTGCACCAAACCTCAATGACACGCCATAGGTCTTAAAAACAAGTATATATAAATAAATGCGAAAACCAACCCTTATCTCTCATAAGAGCGAAAATGAGATATCTGGATGGGTGCAAGAAAAAAGTTATAGGTTGTGCAATGCAAGGACTAACCCTAATCAATCGAGTGGTGTAAACCCTAATATCAGTAACCCTAATATCTCTGGGAGGTGCAAGCAATACGCATAATCAATGAAATTGTACTAAAGTTCAAATTCAGAAATGATGGCTTTCGAATGCAGGACAACGGTGTCAATGATTGACGTCAGATTATTGTGACGTCATAAACGTTTGTTCATCCGCACCAATTATCGCACTTTACGTCGTGCGTCTCATAGGAAACCAACCATCGGACTTTGGCGTGACCATAGGATAGCCATCAGTTGGCGCAGACCATCGGGGTTTGGCGCAGAAAATATATATCGCACAGATTTGATATATATATTTTGAAATATTTTCTCCTTAGGACAGTAGGGCCTGTGAAGTGTAGTATCACTCATTAAAAAAATATGCCCCCAGGGATAAGGTGGGGGCTTGATAGGAGGTCAGATTTTTACTTAGAATATGTAAAAAAATAAAATCACCTTTTCATATTATGACCCTTAAGGTATGGATGAGGCAGCCAAGGTGAAAGTTTATATGATAAGACATATTTAATCTTCTTTTCAAGAACAGCTGGGAAAAAGTTACTGTAAACCAACTATTATTCGTGTCATCTTTTATTTGCATTCTCTACAAATGCTTAGCAAAATGAATGGTTTCGGGCGATTAATAGTTGTGAGTAAAAGTAGGTCGCGGGACTCGTAGTTATTTCTCACAAACGAATAAAAGTTAGTTAAGATTGAATTTGATTTTTTCTTCAAATTGAGATCTTCAGGTCTAGAGGGTGGCACTAATGGGGTTTAAATTTTTACATGTAAAGGGTGAAGATTAATTCTAATGCAAATGGTTTGTAAAACAGTGGTTTGTAAAACAAGTTTTCATTGGCTAATGCACTTTGTTTGAAGCAGTAAAATGAGCATTAACGAGAGTGAAAGCTTTTCATTGTGACATCATAAGAGAGCGAAGCAAAAACACAGTGCTCTGTGACATATTTCATATAATGAAACTCAACAAAATAAGACATAAACAGCAAACAACAAATAACTATCTTCTGATTTGGTACTGTTAAATCAGCATTATCAGTCGCAAATACCAAATTAGAAGATAGTTACCGTATCAGCAGAATTTTAGTGAGGATCAAATTTTGGCATTATTAGCGAGGGTGCCAAGAACGCTGAAATTGAATATCGCTAAAAATTAACTGCGCTTTATTTGTAATAGCCTCTTTAGTAAGCTTTTTAAAATCGCTAAAATTACATCCCGCTAAAAATAAAATACCAATTTTTAAGGACAAATCGCTAAATTTGCATCTTGCTGAAATTTCCACTTATACGGTATTCCCTAAATGAAAAGTGATTGATCTCAAAAACCTATAAACAATACAAAAATGTTAAGGGAGCCAGCATGAAACACAGACTCCTGGAAGTTCCAGAGGTGGGATCAGGGGTCTAGGAGGGGTAAACATCCCTTGCTGACTGTTTACATCTGTGGTGAGCCCTGAGTATTGATCAAGTAGATGGAACTTATATATAGGGTTCTTTGCTTATAAACTGAAAAACACTTTGCAAATAACTGTTGAAATGCCTGCACTGAAGTTCATACTTATTCCTGCAATATTATTTTGAAACCTTGTAGGACACACAGTCAGTGATTTTCAAAAGGTGCTTTCCTTTTCTATTAATTCGTGGCTTTGTTTAAAGGTAGATTATTTTATTGGGGGAGGGGGAGGGATGGAGGATGTTTTATACTCCAACTCACATCATTCTCTATGGTGTTAGTAAAATGTGAATTTGCAGATTTTTCAAATTCATATCACCAAGAATTACCGTAGTCTCTTTGATTATGTACATTGTCATCAATTATTGATAGGGGAATTATTTGTTTCAACAGTATCCTAAGAGTTAAGATGAAAGCTCTTATTGAGGAAGAATTTAATTAGAATTCTTAGTACTGCTTCCCCTCAAACTTAGAATTTATAACCATGTTTTTAAAGACACAGTGTATAACTGAATTTGTTCAGAATCATTCAGTATCTCTGGAGGGGTGGCCTTGCTCAATATACAGGTTCAGTTTGCAATAAAGCTTCAAATTCTAATTAGTTCATGTTAAAATTTTATTTTCAGACTTTCCTACAAAAGATGTAAAAAAGAAAAGGTTATCCAAACCAAAATCACTATTTCCATTGTGTGGTCGTCACGAGAATCGCGGGAAGGAGTTGGTATTACACGACATTGTTGTACTGACACAAACTATTTACGGTAAGTTGTAAAAACAAAATCAATCTCCTGAGATAATTTCTGCTCTTGTCCTATTTTATAGCTTTGATTAAATTAGTTGCTTGTTATTCTGCTAAATCAATTTCACAGAATCAGTACAAAAAATATATTACCCATTAGCACAATGTTCCTTGGTAAAAAATTATTCCATACTGAGAAAAGTAATGGGATGATTAGCACTGAGGGATCTTGTATCTTTTATGGCAAGTAATAGGTTCTACACTAGTACTAGTAGTAGAAGTAGCTGCAAAACTGTAGCTCTTTTGTAGAGGAAATTTCATCAGAAAATACAGAGAGCTACAGATCCATGCATTGAAAATACCTTCATTTTATTGTGCCTCTTATTTCTCACCTCAACATATTTATGGTATTCTAGATATTCACATTCTGATTCATTTACTGGATTTATAGTCAGAGTATTTTACCACATTTACAATCATAGTCTTTAACCACATTCACAGAGTTGTTCAGCACATTCACAGTCAGATTCATTTACCATGTCACTTATAGTCAGAGTATTTTACCACATTTACAATCATAGTCTTTAACCACATTCACAATCACAGAGTTGTTCAGCACACCCAAAGGCACAGTTATACACCACATTCAGACGGATGGACAAACAGACAGACAACAGACAGAATGCTATCAGAAAATCTCACTTAAGCTTTCAGCTAGGGTGAGCTAAAAATAGGTAAAACAACGCCAATAGCGTTAAAAACCACAAAATATAACATGTTAACACTAATACCATAAACACTGTAAATACAGGAAACAAAGTATATCAATACTAACCCCTAAACACTGTCAATGTGCAAAGTAGCGTGATGCCTTGAGTCCTGAACAAATGAAATTATGTAAATGAACAAAAGTTTACCCTCTCTGTAATCTTGTATTTCTTAAGATCAGTTCTGATACATGTATTGAAAAAAAGAAATTATTACATTTCTTAATACAGACTTTTGTTAAGGAAAACTCTTGGTACTTATTTATTATTTTGAAAATATCAAATATGTGAAGTTTTTAAGTACTATTTCAGAGTCATGAGGGGGGAGGGGGGCAGAAAAATAAATCAAAGAGTTTGAAAACTATTAACACAATTCTGATAGAAAACTTCTCTTAAAATAAATGACAAAGGGTATGCAGGTCTTGAAAATGGTATAATAAACTCAACTTGTTACAAGCCCACACACAAACTGGGTGAGAAAAAAATATCCCACATGATTAATCTACTAGACAAACAAAACAGCTATCCTGAACCAAAAAAGAAGGGTGCTGCTTGATAAAAAAATTTCCTTTTTATCTTGCACTCAATGCGATATAGTGTGATTAGAATAATGTTATAAATATTGCTGTAAGATGTCTTTTCATGTACACATTGAAAATTCAGGCTAATGATTTTGAACTCTATGACACTGAGGTTTTCCTTGTGATCAAATTAACTAGATATACTGATTTTTTCCCAAACTTTTAATTAAAGCATTTTGAAAAAAAAAATGTTTTTAATTATCTCATCTGAGCCATTGTCCATTGCCATTTTCATTGTTGTTGTCCTATTTTTTTTTTTTTTTACAGTTTCTTCCTCTTTAGATTTAATGGGTCTTTTTCAACCAAACTTGGCATAAAGTTCCTTAGGTAAAAGGAAGTCTAAGATAGTTAAGAAATAGTGAAAAATTTTGGGTTGGGTCATTTAAAAATCTTCTCAAGAACCATTGGGCCAGAAGGGATAAAACTGTTATAATTGAAAGCTTCCTGATATAGTGTAGATTCAAATTTATTTAAATCATGACACCCCCTCCCCAAAGGGATAGGATGGGTCCACTATGAGCAAAACAAATGTTTAGCAATATGTATATACATTGTATCAGCATCCCCAGATAGTGTAGTGTAGATCTATATAAGTTTCTTTAAATCTTGTTTAAAAAAGAAACTGGGGATAGGGTTGGTCCTTTATGTGAAAAGTTTTGTGTGCCTTGGTCAGTTATATTGATATAGAAATATCCACTGACAGTATTCGTTAAAAAAAAAAAAAGCCCCAGGGACATGGTGGGGCCAAATTGGGCAACCAATTATTGTAAAAAAAAAAACATAAGAAAAACCTTTCTTTTTTTCCAGGAACAGCAAAATTATGATGTGATATTTAGCATCCACATGAAATGTATATTCAAGTTTGTTAAAAGCATGACCCCCCACCCCAAAGGAAGGGTCTGACCACAATTGGGAATAGTACTACATGTACATACAGAAATCTTTAAAATCTTTTAAAAACAGGAAAGCCTTCATTAATCATATTTATAAGGAAGCATTCTTGCATAGTGTAGATTCAGGTTTGTTCAAATCATAATTGACCTCAGGAGTAGGATCAGTCTACAATGGGTGATCAAAATTTTACACAGGAATATATAGGAAAATGAGTCGCTGATGAAGAAAAAGATGGGACATAGTTACTTCAGTGTTTTCAATAAGATTTTCAATAGAAGGAAAAATAGATGGAATAGCAGGAAACCAGTCTCGGCGAGGGGTCTGGGGGCCGCCTTGGGCCCCCAACGGGTCTAGGGCAGAGCCCTGGTAGGGGGCCCAGGGGGGGCAAAGCCCCACGGCCGAAAACGAAAATCAGCATTTTTGACTCATTTTTCTTACCTCTCAGCCCATTAAAAAAGTAATAATTTTTCCACATTCTTGCCACAATATATTATCAAATTTTACCCAAGAAAGCCAATTAGAATTTTTTTTTTTACCTTTTTACAGGTTTGTTTGACAAGATTTGTGACATACTGGGTTTTATTCTTCTGAAAACTAAGTGTCTATAAAAACATATATACAACTTAAGTAGGAAATTCTAGTACAGACAATTGTCTGTGGTAGAATATTATATTTAAAATTCTACATATTTAGTCCCTTTCATATAAATTGGTCAGGACTTTTATTCAAAACTCAAAAAATGATTTGTTTGAAAATTTTAGATTTTTTAAACACTTGGTGTTAAGAATTTCTATGTCTGAGTCATGATTAAAATATTAAGACTTTTATTTGTAATTATTATGTCAGCTTAACATTTGCGATTTTCAGTTTGCGGAAATTCTGTAAGAATTAGAATGGATACATGATCAATTTTCAATCGAAAATTATAAAACACAAACAAATCTTTTCAGAATGGACCATTCTTTATGCCTCTTAATGTATGTTATCTCAACCGCATGTGTTACAGCAGGAGCACATTTCTCCATGACTTCGCTCAAATATTCGTTGTCCGCGACGCCATTACCTGACACTATCGATCTAATCAAACTTTCTTGAAAAAAGAGCGCACTCAAGGGAAGCTACTCTAGATCATGGAAATAGTTGCGATAAAATCTATGGATTTCGGGTATCAGCACACCGGCAAAATCCTAATGACAGAGAATTCATAGCCGGCAAAATTACTCGTACAGGCGGTTAATTTTGCCGGTTGCCGGCTCTTATTGAAAACACTGTACTTAGGTGAGCATTTAGGCTCATGGGCCTTTTTTTATTTAATTTTTACAACTTGAGTTTATTTCATTCAGATGGCCACAAGTTCTGTTTAAAAGTTTACATTGGCATATATGCTGATGAATAACAAGAGGGCTAAAGTGACTCAGGTGAGCATTGTGGCCCATAAGTCTGTAGGATAGCTTTTTATAAACATGCTATTGCATTTTTCTTAGCTTAGAATCAAAATCTTAAATGGATATTGATAATGTTTTCTAAAAGAAAAATAAAATGGGGACTTCGTACAAGTCTCTGACTGTTTAATTCTTTAGTTTAGCATCGCCTTTATCTATAGAAAAAAAAAACATGTTTCAGCTGCCACCAAAAAAAAAAAAGAACAAAACCCACCTTGGTATATTCTTGTCGAGGCTCTCTTAGGGCTCGCTGTCAGAGGTTTAATGAAATAAGGAATGATTAAGGAACAGATATACAGACAATTAAGACAACAGAGCAACGATTTCTAGCTGAAAATTGTTGTAGGAAAGAGGCACTAAGGAGAAATTACTGATAAAAGATTTTTCCCTTCTCCACTCAAATACCCAGCATGAAGGTAAATTCCATTCCCATTAACCAATTTGAATGGTAAAGCCAGCTTTATTGTAGTTTCTATTTTAGTGTCTTCAGTTTTTGTTCTGATGGATTGATATTGTATTAAGAAATGCATTAAATTTTTTTTTTATTTTGATATTAGATTTTCATTTATAAAGTCCCTAGTCTATGTAAACTCCCACTCAGAATATCCTAGTTAAAGCAAGAGTACATTTTGTGTCATAACCAAGATTCAGTAAATTTTTATAGATCATTATCAGATGATTTTTTAATGCTCTAAATCATTATCACTAAAAAGGAACATCTGCTTTATTTTTAGCTCACCCGAGCTGAAGGCTCCATAATGGGAAATTTTCCTCAGATAGTGTAGATTTAAGCAGGATTAGACCTAATCTGCAGAGGAAATATAGAACGACCTTTAGTTACTCAGGTGAACTTTGTGGCCCATGAGCCTCTTGTTTGTGACATTTTGAAGCAAAGTGCATTAGTTTCTGTAACAATTGGTCTTAACATTATGACCCTTAAATGTAGACTCATTTAAATATAAGCAAAAGTAATATATTGAGATCTGTTTGAAAAGATAGGAGATGCATGTCGTCAAAATTGTAAAATTTCAATTTATCATTTTTTGAAAATGTTTTTAATACCTGACAACCTATGAATCCAGTTCATCCAGGATATCTGAAGATGACTTCAGAAACATCCAGAAGATATGGTTATATCCCTTGAGCAGTCAGTCCTACCGTTGGCTATAAAGGAATCAGGGGATCCTACCTGAGCCAATAAAAAATGTCAAACTTAAATGGCATCAGAACATGTAGTAGAGGTTTTTAGAAAAGGGCAATCCTGGATAAACAAGGGGGTTAAAATATAAGTAAAACTGTGGCTAATCTTAATCTGTACCATATGAGAATGTCCTTATGTGTCACCTCAGAGTATTGCTACTTTCCTGATTTTAACAGACATTTCTATCCCTGGGGCCAGTAATTCAATAAAATTCTAAGTGGTGTCCTTAAAAAAAATCATGCTGCAGAATGAACATTTAACTTTTTGTGGGAGGTTTGAATTTGTGAGAGCTTTCAGAGTTTCACCAAAAATAAACCCAGAAAAAATGGGTTTATTCCTTCCCTGTTCACTCTGTTATTTAAGTTGTTCTTGCTCTGACTTATGTATTCTTTCTCAGTAAACAGATGCCTAATAAGTCACCAGCACAATAATGAACAATACAAGACTGCTGCCTACTGTGAAATTGCTAATTTTGTAGGGGTTAATTTCATTATTTTTGTGGTATGAAGAGAACCATCAATTCAAGTTACTGCAAATTTTGTATGTAAAAAATAACAATTAGAACCATCAATTCAAGTTACTGCAAATATTGTATGTAAAAAATAACAATTAGCACTTCCTTAACCATGATAGGTAATTCTCAAGAACCAATTTAATATTTTGTTCTTTGAAAACCACAAAAATTTGAGCCCCATGAAAATATTAAGTGATTTTACAGTAATTCTTAGACCTTATGTATACATGTATGTTGTCTCCTAGAATAATCTCATGTATTTCTACATGGAAATTTTTGTTCCCTGCAAAATAAAGATGCTATCTTAACTGTTAGAAAATAAGGGAAAAATATCAATGACCCAATACTGTAAAATCACATACTTTCGTGGGGTCAATTTTTCAAGGTTTAAGAAATATTGGTTAGTGAGGATTTGATTTCGTGGTAGAAGAAGTGTTGAGTAATAATGCGTATTAAATTTGACATTTCGTGGTGGTCATGAATTTAAGGGTCGGATCTCTCCATTCCTTGAAAACAACGAAAATTAACCCCCATGGAAATTAATGATTTCATAGTATCACCAAATCTTCAAATTTATCAATATATTTTCTAACCCTCTTGGAAAAAGAAAGGTCTTTAATTTTTTGTTTGGTAATCTGCTGTTAAACTGAAATAATGACACACTTATTTAAATCACTCAACCTTGCTGTGTTCTGTATCATTAATTGAATACAAATTAACATCAACAGGTATTGGTGAGTGGGATGCATATATTTCAGGCACAGGAAGATCGGTAGAGATTTTTCTCTATGTGAGATAGTTACTAGGGTTATCTTGTGTTAGAAGGCATCGCATGACATGCTTTTGATGGATGTGATAAGATGGAATGATTGACAAGTTCTGTACATCCATAGTGAGTGGTTTATGTTTTGTAGGTGAGATTAAGACAGGAGTTAGCCAGGTGTGAAATGTATACATTGTTTACTTTCTGTTTCAGAGAAGTCGAAGGTTGAGAAATCCGTGGATAATTCGGAGGAATTTGATGCAGAGGAGCATATAAGCCTTGGATTTTACTTGCCTGATAGACGAGCTATTCTACAATGCCTCGGATTAGAAGGTAGTTATGGATACAGTCATTTACATTTTGTTTTATTTCAGAACAGAGTGCAGCAAGATATTTTTTTATAGTTTTCTGCTCAAGTTTGAAAATTACTACATCTCCTGACATGTGTTAGATTATCGTAAGGAAATTCAATTTGCATGTTGTTCCAAATTTGATTTTGTTTCACTGACAAAAGTGCACATATGGCTCACAGATGAGCTTTCTCGAATATTTTCTCTGTTATGACACTGGGAAAAAATTAGGCTACGTAATGCTGCCAGCATGTTCAGATCTATAAATATCATTTCTCCTCTTTTAAATCAGTTTATTCTTAAAACTTGGTAATAATCTGGAAAAATATCAGATTGAAAAAATTAGCAGACCCTAAAAAATATCATATTTTGCAAAAATTTCACATGTATAGTGCTTCCAATTACTTGTAAATCAGATTTTTTTTAGCAAACCAGCACAAATTGGCTTTCTTCCCTATCTTGTGAACTGGTATGCTTTATTCCAGCGGGACTGGAGATAGGTTAGGTTACTGGCTTGTATTAAACTTTATCTTCTATCTTGAAAAAGCGTATGTAAAATTTTCTTGTAACTGACAGACATGGCTAATTGGATATTTGGTTTGGTTATTATTTTTCCTTCTTGGGTCATTGGCCACATGAAGTTTTCAAGCTGTCATTATCATGTCAAAAACTTGAAAAAAAATATAAGTAAACGTTTTGCATACTTCTTATTGGCCAAGTCTTTCTCACAGAAAGAAGTAGAATAAAAAATCAAATAAACCACTTATCCATATGGTTTATCTGTCATGCATAGATAGTCTGGAAACGGGACGTCTCTCTGACAAGCCAAGCAGCCAATGACACCAATTCTCTCTCCATCCAGAACATTTATTACTTATCACGGGAGCTAGGTCATTGCACAAAATACTCCCAATTCTTGTTAATTAATGTTTGGAAGTTGAATTTTTAGTCACTGCAAAAGGTAATGTATGCAGATTTAATCCATTTGATGGCATCTTGTTCATAGAAACGAGTTTCTTATGACAATTTTACGAGATTGGAGAACTTTTAGTGTTAAAAATTATTAGAATGATATCACTTCGAATGAATTAGCAATTTCCAATTGTTGAAGACCATCAACAAGTTCTTACTCTTGGGTGAAAATAAGTTGTCAGAATTTTAATACATTTGATATGAAATAATATTTATAGGAGTACATTTTGTAATACAGACTGATAGTTATTACTTGATGATAAAGAATTCTCTACTAACTTTGTGTACATGTAGTTGCTTGCTTAAACATATACATGTATATGTAACGGACCTGAGCTGCTTGGATCTCACACACAAGTACTCCTTAGAAGCCTACACGGGAATAACCCATGTAGTACTGTGATTATTTCCGAGAATAACCCGTAAATAAAGATCTCTTATAATAACACAAGAATAACCTGTGTTTGGACTCGTAAATAACTACGGGGAAGTTAAATGATAAGCCTTATTTAAAGTTTACAAATTTATTCAATAAATAAAAGTCACAATATGTTTTAATTAGTATTCAATTACAATAAAATTCAATGGAAGTCGGGAATCACCCAAATTCACAATGAAATACTACACTAACACAACCTTCGTATTACGTTAATACGATAAAAGGGGGGGGCGCACTAAACGAGAATGACCCGAATAGTGAATAATAAATACTATAGAAATACCTTAGAATAACCAAAGTATTTCTGAACGAATCTATCCAACTATTTAAAGCAAGAAATTTATCTCTATAATTTCTATATCAAATCCTAGCCTTAATTCCTGCTTGAATATTCCAATAAATGCAACTAGATTATCACTTTAAATTGATTGAATTCCTAAAATCTATCAAAGATAAACAATTATTTACACGGAAAGACTTCAAGACTCACTTTCAGTCAAACCGTAACAAGATTATTTAATCGTTCAATATCGAGATTAACCCAATATAAACGTCCTACGATAAATACTAGTAATTAATAGTGAAACGAGATTAACCCGTATTCACTATAAGAAAAATTGATGAATTAATTCAAAAAAATTACTAAATTCCTAATGAAAAATGCTAAGAATCAAATAAACAACCGCTAACCTCAAAATCTAAATGCCGAGTCCCACCGGCAGTTCTTATCCTCTGCTTATATCGCTCTGGAGAGTCCCCCCGGAGACCCACGCGCTTCCCTAGGGACGACCGGCAGATCTCCGGTATCACCGGCAGTCACCGGCAGCCACCGGCAATAATCATTGTCAAAATATGTTTAATAATTACAATAGATAATCGATATAAAAATATGACAATCATAATGTAAAACATTTATACAATATGACAATATTCCCTAAGTATTAGATTTCGATAAAAATGCTTAGTACAGAGAAATTACAATTAGAATCGGGTGTGATATTCCACTAAATAATCAACATGATGGCGGTATCTATAAATAAAGTTACAGAGTTAGAAACGATATTTACAACAAATCTAGCGTATTACAATACTGATATTAATCCAGGATAATAAAATTATAATAAAAGATCGTTCTCTTCTATATATGTAAGTACAGTGAATCATAATAAGAAATTTAACCATTATGCGATCTACAAATCATGGTATCAAATCAATGTATAGGGTAACATGAAATCTATATAAAACAAACTGCATCATTGTCACAATCGTGACATTTAACGGACCTGAGCTGTTTGGATCTCACGCACAGATACTCCTTAGAAGCCTACACGGGAATAACCCATGTAGTACTGTGATTATTTCCGAGAATAACCCGCAAATAAAGATCTCCTATAATAACACAAGAATAACCTGTGTTTGGACTCGTAAATAACTACGGGGAAGTTAAATGATAAGCCTTATTTAAAGTTTACAAATTTATTCAATAAATAAAAGTCACAATATGTTTTAATTAATATTCAATTACAATAAAATTCAATGGAAGTCGGGAATCACCCAAATTCACAATGAATTACTACACTAACACAACCTTCGTATTACGTTAATACGATAAAGGGGGGGGGGGCGCACTAAACGAGAATGACCCGAATAGTGAGTAATAAATACTATAGAAATACCTTAGAATAACCAAAGTATTTCTGAAAGAATCTACACAATCTATAAAAGCTATTTAAAGCAAGAAATTTATCTCTATAATTTCTATATCAAATCCTAGCCTTAATTCCTGCTTGAATATTCCAATAAACGTAACTAGATTATCACTTTAAATTGATTGAATTAAAATCTATCAAAGATAAACAATTATTTACACGGAAAGACTTCAAGACTCACTTTCAGTCAAACCGTAACAAAATTATTTAATCGTTTAATATCGAGATTAACCCAATATAAACGTCCTACGATAAATACTAGTAATTAATAGTGAAACGAGATTAACCCGTATTCACTATAAGAAAAATTGATGAATTAATTCAAAAATTACTAAATTCCTAATGAAAAATGCTAAGAATCAAATAAACAACCGCTAACCTCAAAATCTAAATGCCGAGTCCCCCTGCAGTTCTTATCCTCTGCTTATATAGCTCTCGACAGTCCCCCCGGAGACCCACGCGCTTCCCTAGGGACGACCGGCAGATCTCCGGTACCACCGGCAGTCACCGGCAGTCACCGGCAATAATCATTGTCAAATAACGTTTAACAATAACAATAAATAATCGGCATAAAAATATGACAACCATAATGTAAACCATTTATACAAAATGATAATATCCCCTAAGTATTAGATTTCGATAAAAATGCTTAGTACAGGGAAATTACATTTAAAATCGGGCGTGATATTCCACAAAATAATCATCATGATGGCGGTTTCTATAAATAAAGTTTCAGAATCAGAAACGATAATTACAACTAATTCAGCTTATTACAATACTGATATTAATCCAGGATAATAAAATTAGAATCATAAGATCATGTTCTTCTAGAAACGTAAGTACAGTGAATCAATAATAAGAAATGTAACCGATTATGCGATCAACAAATGGGGGGAAAGTATCAAATACAAACAGGGTAGCACGAATCCTATATAAAACAATCGGCATCATTGTCACAATCGTGACATTTTCCCCCTCTTAAAACTTTGGTGTCCTCACCAAAATCTTAAGATTAAAAAAAACCAACAATACATGTCTATATACATTCAATACATTTCTCCATCAATAATAAATTAACATTAAAAAATGTACACTAGACAAAGTCATATAATTTCCTCAGTTTCCCAATCCTAACATACTTCAATTGTTAGAAATTTTTCTTTTAATATACATCAATAAAAACAAAATTTAAAAAATGCATATACCTAAACTCTGACCATACTTACACCACATTCTAACTAAATTTCTTTACTGAAGACTTCAACGCTGGTCTGCTAGCCATTGTCAAAGGTCTTGTACGCAGATTTTCCAGCACCATCTTGAATCCGACTCACTTTTGTGAAAGGTATTTTACAGCCATTCATGGCAATAAAGCTGTCATTCAAATTGATAACTGCAGGCCCAAATTGACTGTCCAACAAGATGTCCGTACCTAAGAGGCATTCATCTTCTATTCCCGCAACAGTTATCTCCCTTTGAAATTCTAGATTTCCTAACTGCACTGCAAATTCAGCCTTCCCTAAGACTTGAAGTGGGTCTCCATTGACCGCTACAAGGCTTGAAGATTCCTTTAGCTCTGGTCTTTTGTTCCCGGGGAGTCTCCAAAATATTTTGTCGGATAAGATAGTTCTTGCAGCCCCTGTGTCTGCTGTGAACTCCACTTTTATCCCTTGAATCGTTCCCTGAACGTAAATTCCATCCGCCTTGAGGAGCTGTCTCCTAATGTACTCCCTCTGAGTACACAGTTCCTCTTCCCTTGAAACGTCCCTGACGCAAGGCTGGAATTTCCCCTGGTTTTCAATTTTCTCCCCCGACTCATCTAAATTTCCACTTAAAATAGGTTCAGTTAAAATTTTACAGTCA